TCGAATTCCTAAGCCCCAAACTCAAGATCACGAATCATAGAGGCTCGTGTGTAGCAAGAACACGCGGAGAAAACCCTCAATGGCTACACTGGCACTTCCCTAGACGCCTGAACCCATAGCCCCAGATCTGAAAGCCTGCGCCCTACACCTGAAACCCCAAAAATCTTCACTCCAGCACACCGCATATCCTAAAGCCGCGATCTACACCCTGAAGCATACGCGCCAAACCCAAGGCCTACACCATACACCCGGTGCCTTACACTTTAAGCCCCTGCCCTCAACACCTTAAACCCTGCCGCCCCAAACCCACGGACTAACCTTCCCAAACCCGATGCCCCACACCCTACACCCTCAGCCCTAAACTNNCTAAACCCTCAACCCTCAGCCCTGACGCAGGGGGTGTCTTCTGCTAACCGGAGGCCTGCTGACAAGGTGGGGGCGGGGAGGTGAGTTCGGGGAAACGTTTCTGGAAATTTAGTACCCGGATTTGCAGGTCTAGGCTTCAAGGTTTGCGGTACTGGCTCGGGGTTGAGGGGTTCAGGACCACAAGCTGTAGACTCCAATCTGGCCCGAAACGTTGCCTCAAACCTTTCGACCCTCAAACCCAAACCCTGACAACCGCAAAAGCCCGGAATCCCGGCAAGAAACACTCAGCCCTGCGGGCCCTAAGCCAGAAACTTCTTGNNGAGTCCCTTCTCGGGTACACTGCAGCGGGCCCTAAGCCAGAAACTTCTTGCTTCAAAGAAGCTTTGGAGGCTGCTTAGGGCTTGAACTACGGAGCCCTTTCCCTCTATGCTACTGTGAGAGATATAAGCTGAGCAAACACCCCAAGAACGGGCAAAACCAGTACCCAGCCGCGCAGCGCTCAATTTCACTCACAGGTTCGTTAAAACGGTTTGACTGCTTTGCTAGCAGCTCCCAGAGGCTCCCCCTGAAGGGGGGTATGCCCTGCGCTTCCCCTCAAAGGGGTACGAAAGCTACGGAAGCTCGACCGGACATCCTGCGGGTGTGTGTGTCAGAATCTTACAAACCACACTGAGAGGGGCATGGACAAGAATTGGGGAGGTGGAGGCTTTCCGGGTGTTGACGGTTTTGAAACTTTCAAGTTCCCAGGAATTCAGGATTTAGAGCTTGGGTGCCGGGTTTCGGTCTCACGGTCTACGGCTTTTTTTGAAACCCTACTATTACCCTAAGACAAGGAAGCCACAGATGCAGCAGGGTTCGGTCCTTTCTCATCACCAGCTCAGCTGATGGCCCAGATTACACATTGGGAACACCCTTCAGTTTCAAAGGGAATGAACAACAAATAAAAATACTAGTCGCTATCGCGGTCTATGGCTGCGCCCCAGGGCGCCCCGGAGCGCCGCTGAGTCCCTTCTCGGGTACACTGCAGCTGCGCGATGAGTCGATGGCACCAAAGGCCATCTCAGCCTGGGTATTGCTGACAGCGGTATGCCATCAGACAGTATTCATCCGAATCCGATGCTGTCGAAGTCGTGCCTCTGACTCGTCCTCATACATCTCTCCGATGGTGTCCTGGACGTCCTGCATCATGTCAGCCATATGGCGGAGCTGGTCATCCAGCTCATCAACGTCGTCGATATGCTTGTCCTCCCTTGAGGTCTGGCGGTGGTGGAGCCTCCGGAGCGTTGCCTGAGTGCGGTCAATGACCTGCTGGATCTCATTCATGTCGATCAGCAACTGGTTCTTCTCGATGGACTTGAAGGTCATCTTCAATTTCTCGCGCATACAGGTGTAGATCAGGCCCAGGGTTCCTGTGACACCCGCGGGAACCAGGAAGACATCCACGCCCATCATTCGGTAGAGCATGGCACCTAGGACACAGCCGCTGAAGAAGCTGATGTAGAGCGGAACTAGCACTATGAGCTTGGTCTTGTCCACCTGGAGCTCGGCCTCGTCTAGCAGTTGCTTGCCTGAGCCTTCCTTGTGGAAGAAACGCCGTGCACACAGCATCACGGCGCGGCCCGTGGTAGAGCCGATGTCGGTTATAGTACCAGTGACGTGGGTGGTTCGGACGATGGCTCCAAAGTGCATAGTGCACATGGCGTTCTGAAGCCCAGCTGCCGTCGACGTCCAGTATGGCGCGAACTCATGCTCTGGAAAGTACTTGGTGCAGAGTAGTAGAGTGCACTCGGCAATAAGCGCAGTGCCGTACAAGCCCTTGCCTCCGAAGTGGATCTGAGTCTTCGGAATGATCAGGCCACAAACAAAGGAGCCGGAGCAAAAAAAGAGCACACAAAGGCCCGCTTTCTCTGCCTTTGCAAGCCCCCAGTGGTTCACAGACTCGTGCTCCAGCCAGAGGCCCAGCTTGGCCGTGTTACCTGTGACGTGGGTGGTGGTCACGTCAAAGCACTTGATGGAGCCTACGTCGACGATCCCGGCCATGAGGCAAAGGACGTTCCCAAAAATGAGCATGTACCACTGCGGGCGCTTGAAGCTGGCCTTGGTGCTCTCTGCCTTAGCCTTGTTGAAGCGGTAGGAAGTGCTCTGCCGGGGCAAGGAAGTGCTTTGCTGGCGCAGAGTGTCCGGTTGCTCTTCAACGACCGCCGTCTCATCCTGCTCGCTGCTCTCCTCCTCCTCGCTTGTGTCCGTATCCTCTTTCTGGTCTTGCTCCTTGATTTGCACCGACTTCGTGGGCGGAGGAGTAGGCTCTGTCTGGGCACGTTCCTCCGACCGCGGCACGGGCGATGTCACCCCGCTTACGCTTCTGAGGTAGGGTCCTGAACCCACCAGTACTCCGGAAGCATTCATCTGCACGTAGGGCAATGGCACAGACTGCACTGGCCGGTCAGATGTCATGGCTTGAATGTGGAGCGGTGGCTACAGGCTCCTGAAAAGGGAGAGACTTGAGAGTTGAGGGAAAACGAGCCAGGGCTGGGTCGCAGGTTCTCTACATGTCCAGGTAGAGGGTTTAAGGATTGGGTTCAGGCTTTGAGGGTTTGGGGTTTAACATTTGGGGGCTGAAGCTTCGGGTTTAAGGTTTGGGGTTTTGGGCGCATGGGAGTTCAGGGTGGAGAGTTCACGAGTTTCAGATTTAAGGGTTGAGGGCACACATGGCGCGTCAAAGAGCACGAAGGGCCAGACTTGGCAGTACTGCACGCGACCAGCGCAAAGCGTTCCGGACCTCACCTTTTTATCACTCCCCGCCACGCTTCTTCCATTCAGGGTTCACCTTGCCCTTCTTCTCCGGGTGCTTTGTCCTCAAAGGAAACATGCTCAAGCCCCAACCCCAATCCCCAAGCCCCTAATCCCGAACCCCACACCCTAGATCCCAAACTCGCACCCTTTTGCCCAAACCCCTAAACTAAGGATGGCAAATTCCTATGAGGGACTAGTCACCTAGTTTGATGCAATTCCTGACAGGACATTAAGGAAAGAATGACCAACCGGGCACCTTCCACTAATCGGATTTTCCGCCTTAGCCCCAAACCCCAGACTCTCTAAACCGAGACCATGCTTTAAGGCCGCACAGATTTTTGTGGTCTTTGGGCACTAAGAGGCAGATCCGCGTAGGTGAACTCTTGCCGGTAAACCTTCTCGTTTTCGGCGTTGCGGCCGGTGCAGTCGCAGTAGTAGATATCTTCATTGTGTGTCCTCAGAAACGCCATCCCAACAAAGATTCCTCACCCTACTTCCTGGACCCAGACCCAATGGCTAATACTTGGCTGGAACCTATTTCCAAGTCTAGTGTCGAAAAGAGGCGATACCCTACACCCCTAAACCCCTAAACCCCCAACACTACCTAGTGCCGAAAGGTGACGCTGCCATGCAAAAGCATCCTTTTCCGCAGTGCTGTAAGCAATATTTGGCCTTTCTTTCGGCCAAACCTGAGTCCGCGGGCACCCAAAGCCTGAGCACCACGTAAAGACCTAAACCTTGCCCGATAAACCCCACACCCTGGAGTAAGTTTAACATGAGCGAGTTTATGCTCAGCATCTCCAAAACCCCACAAGAAAACCCAACCCAAACCAAAACGCTTAACCTCAAACCACAAGCACTAGGCTAAACCCGAGACCCCAAACCCAAAACCCTCCAAGCCCTCCCTAAGACCTAAACCTCCAAACCTCCAAACCCCAAACCCTAAACTCCCTAAACCCCAAACGGCCCAAACCCTAAACCCTGCACCCTCAACGCAAAAACGGGCCTGGTCTGCAGTACTATGCCGGTGAACGGCGCTCCGCGTTCGGCCCTAGCCATCGAGTGAAGGCTTCACGTGGAGGGTCTGGGCACGGGGGGGCTTTGATCTTTTCTTGTTTGCAAGCCTGAACTCTAAACCCAAAAACCTCACACCCCACACCCCCAACCCCCACCCCCAACCCCAA